TCATCCAATTTGAACCAGTATTTTAGGAATTATAATTAGTCAAAGTTTCTTAATTTTGTCACTCACTGACTGACCGATCATCAAAACTCTAAGGGATCTATCAGACAGAAGCCGTTCAAGCGTTCCGTGTTCGCGTTCTGCGTTCTTTGTGTTGTATTTTAGACATACCCAGACAGCAGGCATTCTGACCGCGTCGGTCAACCAGAACGTAGGCGTTCGTGATTGGTGAGCAACTGAACGCTCGAAAGCAAAACGCGAACGTGGAACGCTTAAACGCGTGACCGCTTCCTGTCTGATAGAACCCTTAGGCACTTCTAGCAGACATAGAAACTTTAAACTTAGAATACAATTAGTGTTTAGTATATAAATCAAGGAAAAACTAAAATATTTTCAATTTCGGTGCAGTTTTCTAGATACACTAACTGCATAAATAACTTTGTAATCCCATATAAAGATATAGAATTACAAAGTTGCATTTGCAGTAAATGAATCAGTGTACCTGTACATGTTTAATATAATGGAATAAAAGGTGTAGATAGGTACTTTTTTGGTAACCAAGAAGTAGAAGGTACCGGGAGGAAAAAAAGTAGGACTATCTGCAAAAAGATATGGGATGCCATCAAAAACATAACTTGTAAAAATAACCAAGTCTCGCAACTCAGTTCTTCTATCGTAAAGTTGTGAGATCCATGTAATACCAAGTCGGTTAATTTATTCAGTCCCTACTTAAGGGTCCTTCTGTCTTAAGTTATTACGTAATTAGCTAACATAACAACATCTTATTGTGACCATATCAATATTAAAAATCTTTTATGTTTTAAATAAATAGATTGACTTGGCAATCGCACTAAGCAATCGAATTTAATATGTATAATATGTATTACTTGTGAGATACATTGTGTTTTCATGCGATGGCCCAAGTCAATCTTTTTATTTAAAACATATAAGATTTTTAATATTGATATGGTTACAATAAGATGTTATGTTAGCTAATTAGGTACGTAATAACTTAAGACAGAAGGACCCTTAAGTAGGGACCGAATAAATTAACCGACTTGGTATTACATGGATCTCAGAACTTTTTACGATAGAAGAACTGAGTTGCGAGACTTGGTTATTTAACAAGTGATGTTTTTGGTGGCATTGTTCAATTTTTTGCTGCAAAAAGAGATCTGCCACGTCAAATTTACGAGTAGATGGCGACCTATCATATAAAAGTAATTTTTAATCACAATATTGCTATTTACTTCTTTTTAAACTTAAAAATTGCAATATTAACGGTCGTGTTGTTTCGCATTAATTTGTTAACCAACACAGGCCGCTCGCCCTCGTACAATATGTAAATCGGTTGAGCGACTGATCCGAGTTTCGCTGTCACCGACCAATACTGCTATTAGTTATAGTCTATGTATGTGTTAATTTTTTAGTTTATTGTTTTAATTGTTATGTGTGAGTTTCGAAGTGACAGATGATAGTTTTTGTGTGCGCAGATTTCCCACCGCAAAAAACGACAGACAATACAGTATCGGGGAAAAACTATATGACTACTCTCCTCTGTTCAGCCGGTAGCCCGTGCTGTTCAGTGTGGCGTATATTCCTTAGGCCGCACACATTGCGATAGTGTTGCGGCGATAAAACTTGGCCTTCGGCCTAATGCACCCCCCCCCCCCTATTACACTACCCCTGAATAATATTATATTACACGTGCCCCTAATTAGGTACGTCACTTATTACACTGCCCTGAATTTACGCCTTTACTCAGTCGTAGGGAGGAACAAGTGAAAAAAAGTATATATATTTCTTGAATCGATACTTTTAAAGTAATTGTAACAATGTTTTGTGAATTTCAACTCAAGTTAACTCGAGTCGTAATTTTTCCTAGTAAGCAAATCTATGGAATGCAACGTTGCTCATTAAAAACATCGAAACTTAGGTACGATATATCGATTTTTTCAATGTTTTTATCACCATTTAAATATATGCATACATAATATATGGAATAAATAATCATTTTGAAACAAAGCAGTATAATAATCAAACATTATATTTATGTTATTTTGGAAAGATTTGCACTATTTATTTTTACACATTTAATTTTATCGAATAATTATCAGAAAACAAGAATTAATTAAATATTTTTTTACTTTTACGTTTATATCTTTCGAATTGAATTTTAAAATAATAATTTTGACAACCTGGGGCCTAGTAAGCGGTTTCTCTCCTGGGTGATTGTAGATCCAGCCTCTGAAAATAACCGCTCACGGGATCCCGAATTTGCCACGATAGGCAAATAGATCTTATCTAAGCTATGAAGTCCGGAAAACACATGTAATATATGAAACTCGTCTTCTGCTTTAGTTTAATTTCTTATGATGTGGTGCGTTAATTTTTATGGTAGTTCCATATGTTAACTTCAGTATTATCGCATTTCCTTGATCATTGAATACATCTACGAAACTATACCGAAATACAAACAGGTGAATAACCGTTCATCCATAAAAATCAATATTTCAGAAAAATTATATTATAACGAACTACGAAATACCGTAAGCCGATAAAATAATTACCATTACAAAATAACTATTACCTGATAATAATGTACTTAGCTATTCATTAAAGTAAAGCTCAAACAATAAAATTATTAATAAGACAATGAATAAAACAATTTCAACCCATTTTCAATATTTGTAAACTAATCTTAATTAATTATCACAATGAAAATAACTACAGTTTTACATGATTAAAACTACTTTTACGGATTTTATCGCGTTTATTTCTTCTTACTTTTTATTTTTATTTTTAATTCCCGACGTTTCGGGCGCTTTCCAGCACCCATGGTCACGGGGGACTGAGATGACTGACGTCCTTGATCTTTTGGTTTGTCCTATATAAGAGAATATTATATAGGACATCAATTAGGACCCGCGTAAAAGAACATATAGCTGATGTGAAGCATCAACGTTCCGGGAAGTCTGCAGTTTGTGATCATATCCTAGACGGCCCCAACCATTACATCAGATTTGATAGACCACAAATCCTCGCGAAAGAACACCGATTCCTACCAAGGATGATACGTGAGGCTATTGAAATTAAAAAACATCCTAATTTCAATAGAGAAGGAGGCTGGGTACTACCACCTGCTTGGGATCCTATAATCAATAAAATTAAAACTAAACCCAAGCATACCACTGCAAGACCTCAGGACATAGTCAGTTCATTTTGCATAGATCGGACCATAAACAATAATTTAAAAAAAAAAAGCTGAAGGTACTCCGGGTTTAACAATGACATCGGGACGTCAGTCATCTCAGTCCCCCGTGACCATGGGTGCTGGAAAGCGCCCGAAACGTCGGGAATTAAAAATAAAAATAAAAATAAAAAGTAAGAAAAAATAAACGCGATAAAATCCGTAAAAGTAGTTTTAATCATGTGCAATGTTCGCGTAAATATAAGAAATCATTACAGTTTTACATCGAAAATGGAAGTACCGATTGTAGACAATTGAAGGGAACAGGGGATGCGATGTCAAATTATTTTATTTTTAAACTTGCTATACGATTCTATACTTCAAATATGTTAAGTTGGTTGGCACGGACGGAGTTGACGTCCCGCTTGTTTTAAACAAAGCCCTTATTTTGTAATATTAGTGGTCTGTTTATAGCCAATTTTGGAATATTTTTAGGTTTCTGCAACTTAGTGTATTATTAAGTTTTTTGATACAAAATTTGATTAAAATTTTATTTATAAAACTCGAATATTCGGACTTGGTGTTATAATTTATTATTGGTAAAGCTATGTACTTATTGCACAAATACTTAAACGCTGCTCAATAATAAGATGCCGTTAAGTCTCGTGTTGTCTCTATCACTTTAAGTCAAAGTGACTGTGACACCACGAGACTTACCGACATCCTAAAATTGAGTAGCGTTTGGGTAATTTTCCATTATGCTTAAAAAAAGATCTCATACTCTGTGCGTCGGAGTCCATTCTTTATCAGATCGTAATACCCCATATATAATCAATAGCTGGACAATTGGCCTTTACATTAGGATTGAGGATCTATCGTAATCGCAAAAATTATTCGGCGATATTCTCCGCTAAGAGTAATAGTGTTCTGTGGTTAGAACGAAACGCCAAATCACACTGTGCGGTAACATGCATGGTCCCGGAGTTATCTTCTTTTAAAAATATTGATATAGTGCAATAACAAGCTAAGTCCATATCATACAGGAGAATAATATGCGTTGTCCATAGTTGGCAGTTTGATTTGTTACTTTTTTTTTGTTTTGTTTACGTCTTGTTTTTGAGGTTATTTCGGTCGGTCATCTGTTCAATTCTGTTGTGTTGTGCGGCGTATTATATTTTTCGTAATTTTTGAAAATGTTCTCAGAAGACGAAGTCGACATTAATCAGATGCAACCTACCAAAAATCGTAAACTTTACGGTTGATTGTCTGATGTCTATAAGAATATTAGACTTCAATGTCACGAAAGTGGTCAAAATTGTAATTGCAAGAGATACAAGTGTTTCGAAACTATTAACGAGGAACAAAGGGCTAGAATTCTGAAAGATTTCAACCTATTGCCATTTAGAGATTCACAAAACCTTAATCTAAGTGGTCTTATAAGTGCTCTGGAAATTCAAAGATGGCTACCTAGACAAGACGAGTCTGAAGCTAAGTTACATACAGCAAGTTACGCTTACAGAGCGAGAATTGTAGACGAAACCAAGTAGTATGATGTGCCAGTGTGTGCTGCGGCATTTATTTCTATCCATCGAATAACTAGGCAAAGAATATCTACAATAAAAAAGTCATTAATCTCAACAGGTAAAGCCCCAACCGACATGCGAGGAAAACAAAGCAATCGTACTAAAAACTGAGTCTAGGGCTTAAAACTAAAGTCATGGATCACATAAGTTCCTTTCGTGGAAGAAAAAGTCATTACAGCTTACATAATAGTTCAAAAAAATATCTACCAGAGGAGTTGAATGTCAAGAAAATGTACGGAATGTTTGAGGAAAAGAATCCACTAACCAACGAATCATATCGATCCTTATTCGTTAATAATTTTAACATAGGATTTGAATATCCAAGAAGTGGTACATGCAGTATTTGTGATGAATATTTGGCTAAGACAAAGGCTCTCAAATTAATTCTGACGAATGCTATTGAGCCAGAAAAAGATATGATTGGAAAAGAAATAAGAAAGTTAGAAATTGACAATAAGTTACATAAAATAATGGCTAATGTTATCTATCGACGAAAAAGAGAAACTAGGATCAAATGTCAATCACCCCCTGTAACAGAAGCTATTGCAATGGACTTTCAAAAAAATTAAATATGCCGAATATTACCACAAATGATGTTTACTATATATTTAATATCCATGAACTATTTACATCCAAATCATATTTCTTCTGCTACCCAGAAACAATATCAAAAAAAAAAAGGATCAGATGATGTGTGCTCATTTCTTCATCACTATATATTAATTTAATAAGCTTGATAAAAAATACTCGAGAACTCGGTATGATTCCTGCGTAGGGCAGAATAAAAATTACACTGTTTTGTTTTATGTGTTATATTGTACACAGTGCAAGACGCGTGGATGTGATCAAAATCATATTTCCCAGTGGTGGACACTCATACTTGGAGTGTGACAGAAATATGGGTTGCATAAACCAAAAATCGCCTTGTGAAAAGCCTGATGAGTCTAAAAAGCGGCCATACCCCTTTGATGTGATTGAAGTTGACCAACCACTTGTCAGAAAATGGACAAACTTTCTTTTACTAATGTATGTCCTTTTTTATCTCGACCCATAAGAGAAATCAGCGTTGAAAAGGATCATCCAAGATTAATCTTTCACCTGGAACATAACAATGGCGCTTGGACATCAGTCATGCTTAAGGTATCTAAAAAAAAGAAAGGCCCCAATGACTCTTCTGGTGACGGTGAGTTTATATTACCAGAACAATCATATAATGAGATCCGACCAGTTTCGAAGGCTAAATTCCAAGATATCTAGGCCCTGTCAAGATTTGTGGACCAAAAGCTAAAGAATACTTTTTGAGGATATGCTTAGGTTTAGGTTTTTTCGTGTGTGCTTATACGAGGACATGCTTAAACAATATTATGTAACAATTTGACCAATATAATTTTTAAATAAATATACAACACGTAACATAATTAACGCACTTTGAGAAAGTAGTTTGTTCAGAATCGTTTACTGAATCGATTCATATCATTTTTAATATAGGTAATTTTTTATCCCAAAAATAATTAAAACTACGTAAATTACAGTCAAACAAAATCTGCACAGTCAAAACAAACTGAAATGGACCGTAACTTAAGGCAATAAGACTTTTAAGAGTGCAGTTATATTTGTATTATTACTAATTCTGTCATTCAATAAAAATAAAGAAAAATGAACTTTATTTCAAGCACGTTAAAGTCTTTGCGTTCGTGGATTTGTACTGTGACCACAACATTCTTCCGGAATTAGTATAACTAATTTGATAAATAATAAGTGCATAAAAATGTTAAACTATAAATTTAGTGTATGTATTATGATTATAACATAATATACTAATTGGGGTGTCTGAGGGTGTGCGTTAATTACGTTACATATTGTATTTTTCTTTAATTTCAAGCCATTAAAGTTACCTTTTTCAATCATAAAAAGATTAATTTAGCAAATTCTTAGCTCATTGTCTTAGCGTCATTGCATGTTTTTCTCCAGTTTTTCATGGACATTGCTTATTTTTTGTCTGTATTTTCTGACTTGGTTCAATTTTTTTTTGAATAAGTCAATAAGTATAAAAAAGGCTTTTTTTACTACCTACACACCCAAAACAAATGTATTTTCTTTATAAATTAATATATTTTCCTTTTATTTCAAGCTTTAAACCTTTTTCCACGGACCAAAAGTTTAATTTACTTTTTTCTCAGTTCTTGAGCTGCGTATTGACTTCGCGCGATAAACCATCGAACTTTGGGTCGCGCGGCAGCCGCGCTCAGTGGATACTGTGTTGCGGCGGGCGGCAATTCGAACATTGGTGCGCTCGAACGTGCCTAGCGACAAACCAATCCTTGTCGGTTTTTGACGGCGCGGCAAAGAAATCTCAGCGAGTTGTGCTCGCGCAGTTGGGACGGTCATTTACGTATTTTACTTGACGCGCGCGGGAAAAACACGGATGGACAAGTGTCGTACTTTAATTAGATTATATGTTACTAAATAATTTCTATGGAACAGTAAATGTAGTGATTATCACAACAAATCATTAAGAAAAGATGCTTGGAATGGAATAAGTACAGAAATAGGCTTGCCTGTTCCACTTCGCCAACGTACAACGTCCATGGTTGCCGCGCACAAAATGAACGTTCGTTGACGGATCAGTTGGATATTTTTGTAAGTGATCGATGCGTTTAGGAATTCTAAATTATTCAAAATTTTAAACTTTTAATAGGAAATGCAAGATTTCGCGTATTCACATTTATCACAAGTTCCTATTAATCGATTATGGGTTCATTGACATCGATGTTTCGATGTTGGCCATGTGGAAACATCGATGTTTTAATTTTCAATATCGATGATCATCGAACATCCGTAGACAGAGAACCCTATAGACAAATTGAAGCCTTCTTTCGCATTCGCACACGAAAAAGATAGATTTATGCATACGTCTTGCATAGAAATGAGACAGAGAGGTGTGATTGTTTGTTCCTTTCTCCGTGCCGGTTTTTTTGTTTATCAAACTACACTTTGCTAAACAACTTTGACAGTTCGTAGCGATCTATGGAGTTTACAAGTTGGTTTAAGTGAGAAAAAAGTGTTTTACGAGCTTAAGATTGGTGAATCTTGTTCAGTTCAGTTCTTGGAATAATTAAAAGTTTTATCTGAATATGTTTAAAAGTCATAAAAATTATTGTATAACCTAAAACTATGTTATCGCCCTTTCTCACTCGAGGCCACGCTAATCATTAGTCTATAGGTTTCTCTGTCTACGGAACATCCCTAATTTCTTGTCAAGTTGTCAAAGTCAAACTATCATTATTTTTCTGAATCTGATTGAAATTCTGACATCTGAATTTGTGGTTTATGCTTTGTGTTAATCACTAACTATTTAAGAGTAATAACGTAGTGCTAAATATTAGCAAAAATGGAGTTAATTGATACTGATATCAGACCATGGAATGCTGAAGATGTGCGAGAACAGTTTGGTGATAGTTTGAGCCTTCTTCCATCGAATGATAATATCAAGGAGCTGCAAACTATTTTACGGGATAAGTAAGTAAGGTTGTATTTTCTTAGGATTCTTTAGTAAATAGGGTTAGATTTAGACTTCTCGTTTGGCAGGAATTTGGGGGAGTAAGGTGTTTTATTTGGTAGAGGTTTGGTCCCCGATTATAATAATACCACTCACATTAAAAGGTAATGCACCATTATCGAAAAAATAAATAAAAACTATTATAACCTAAAATACGTAAAGAATGAAAAATGATACATTTTTATTATTACCTGACTACGGCTCTGGGTTCTAGCCCTTCTGAGAAAAAAATTATACGTTATTACTGTGAAAACTGGATAGCATACAGAATTTTGTGTCTGTGGCGGGAGCAAAGGCAACCTGACTATAGATATCTGATCTGATCGAATTTGTACTAAAATTAAATCAGCCTGCCCCAAATTCACGTAGTCTTGTCTGCCCTACTCCTAAAGTGTTTTTGTAAAGCCTTAAGTGCGGAGGAAGAGCAGCCCCCGTCCGTAGTAGCAAATCGCAGGCACCTGTGTGAGCCATAGTGTGGTTATTATTGTATTATATATTATGTTTATAATTTATAGTAAATATAAAAGCTAATATTTTGGTATTTTGTTGAGTGCAAGAGCGAGCGAAGTGAGCTCGGGACTTAGGGCACTCCAACTCGGACAGGTTAGGTTAGAAGGGGATGGCGGGGTCGAGTGAGCGAGCAAAGCGAGCGAATAAACCCCGCCATTCCCTTCATGGTTATTTTTTTGTAAACCACTCAGAAGTAGGAGCCCCGCAAAGCGGGGTTCTAGTACAAACAAGTTCTAGTTCTAGTGCAAACAAAAAATGCTATTGCGTCGAAACTAGACGTGCTAGGTGAATTCTAACTACATATTTAGATTTAACGTAACTAACGTAATAACTTCCATATATATATATATTTTTTTGCTCTTATTTTGATGCCGACCAGTGTTATGTTTTGTAGACCATTTAAATAAAAAGGATAAACCTGTGCCACAGCCAGAAGCTTAGATATGCTCAGCACTGTATTACTGAGCTATTCTTAATACCAATGTAATATTGAATGAATTGATTCCGTGTAAAGAATATTAATTGTTCACATTATTAATAGGTAGTTAATAGAATAAGGGGCTACTTTGTGGAAATCCATTATATTAAAGTTAGTAAAAATTACCTTGATGTGTCTTACCTAGTTTGAAGAGCACCTCACACACTCCTTCAATTGCGTGCACTATCCCTGTCATCACTAATCTCAGCACCACTACTCTCAACACCATTACACTAGGAAATAGCAGCTGTTTTGGCTCACTATTCAGTCACAGTCAGAACAGAGTCTACTTCACCTGAGGATGCCTCATGTAAAGGTGAAACACATAGTGTATTATCGTTGGTGGTGTGTCTTTTCTAATGTAGTGGTGTTGGGAGTATTGAATAAATGAATGAATATACTTTTATTGGACACCACGAACAAATATACAGATAACAAAACAAAAAGCAGATTATATGTACAATTTGGCGAACTTATTGCTACATAGCGATCTCTTCCAGGCAACCGAAGGTGTAAAGGAATAGAACAATGAAAACTAGGTGGGTGGTGCAATATAAATATACGTAATATAATATCAATACATGCGATTTATAGACAATACACGCAATAAAATAAATATATAAACAAACTTACACATTTACCCAAATAATTATATATATATATTTATACATATACATATATAAATAACAAAATTCCTCAAACAATAATATAAAGAAGATAAATACAATAGATACATAATCACTTTATCCTAACAGTGTGCGAACAACTGAGACAAGTAATGCTCTTTAAGTTATCACTTAAAGATAACAATAGTTTGCGCTTCACATATATGCAACGGTAAGGCATTCTAGAGCTTGATAGACTGGACAGTAAAAGATTTATTAAAAAAAGAGGTATTGTGAGTTGGTACCCTTAAAATGACTTTTCTTGAAGAGCATAAGGGATCCCCTGGAAGCTCTAAAAAATAAAATTTCTCCTTTAGATAGTGAGGAGTAGATGGATGTTATAATACACAATACAGA